TACCAGACTACCCCCAATCTAGTAGTCTCCCAATAATTCATGAAGGTTCGAGAAGGATGTGGCATGATACTAGTCATGTGACCTCGCTGACGCAACATTATCATACTTTTAAATTGTCATTCAAATTTACTCTTGATTTGTAATTTGATAGCAAAATAACTAAGTTATATAGTTTTATACATGTTCATATTGTAACTATTTGGTATTTTATTTTTAGATTGAAGAACCAATTCAAGAAGGCCAAGATGAGACGTAAATGATGAAGAGGATAGCTTTCTTGTAACCTTGTAAGATTTTTGATACATAATATCCAAAAACAATAAACTACACAGATATGTCTATTAAAGGTAAAATTTTGATGTCCTATTTACAAGCAGTGATATGCACAAGGGGGATGGCTGAGTGGACTGAAGCCCCTACCTTCCTGCCCTTATGCCCCCAAAGTGACCTTTTTTTCTGTTAAAAAAATATTATCAACAATTATAAAAAAATACACCTGTGAGTTATTAGAAGAAAAATTAAAATTCAGCATTAAAATGAATGTCAAACACAGATTTGCCAATCTTTATAGTAAAAATATTAAATTTGATATTCTGTTAAATTATAAGACCAATTAAATACGAATAAAAGAGGTTATGTTTGTTTCTATGGTTTTACCCTATGTGTAACAGAAGCAACTAACAGTTATCTAAATATTCTCTAACATCCCCCCCTCTCAAAAAAAAATGTGCTTGCTTTTTTCAATGAGCTCCTGCTCTTTCAATGCCCTACACACACGTTACTGTTTACAAGACTAGTAACAACATGTAATGTTAAAAATATATAAATGTTAATTAATGAAAGACATAATTAATCAAATGAAATATATTTGGACATTTATTTTAGCATACATTAAACTAGTGCCATATACATGAAAATACTGTCAACTAGAACTTTTTATACTTTATATATTATATAAAAGCTATTTTTAACCATATGTGCATGGTTGGGGGGGGGGGGGTCAAAGTGCACATGCCATAACCTTTGGCAGAGTGTTGTTTAACAGAGTTATCAGTTATTCATTTTACCCTACATTGCTGATCTAGTGACAGTTCCTGGTAGGGGAGAGTAAATAACAGATACAGTATATGGGGATACTTAAAAGATTATGTGACTTTGTATTTTGGAGGCTCTAGAGGTTATTCAAACAATATTCAAATTGTACAGTGGACAAAAATATTTTTATTCTTTACATGAATATCACCTTGCACTCTGACTTGTGAGTCTGAGTCAGACTGACAGCATTACTTCAGACATATTGAGTACAAATACCTTTGTAACGCATCTGAGTTTTTGTTTGCAACAGGCTTGTACATTTATTAAAAACTTGCCACATTTCATGTAGACATATACACTAAATTTGGAATTGTAGTCAATATTCCTTACCCAATATGGGGTCAATGCAATGGACTGAACCCTGTGAACATTACATTAATAAGAACCTAAGTGGTATAAATAAACCAGATTTAACTTTTTTTTTTCTCAATGAAATGCAAGAACATTGTAATAATTATGTAAAATTTCATATACTTTAAGTCTGAATCTAAAAAGGTTTATTTGTATTGATTAAAAAAACAGGATTTTATAAAACTCATTTTCAAATATGTGAAAAAGCTACATTATAATTAGCTGAGAACTTTATATTGGCTATAGCTAATTCTAATACTAATATTTTAGTGATATTTTTAAATTTACACAACAATAATGGTACAAGATTTTTTCATAATTTGTATGTATTGTGTACATTAGTACAGAGCTAGCTATTCCCACCATCTCTACCATGCCTGGAGAGATATGAAAGATTTGCCCAAAATCAGAACTGGGACAAAGGTGATGGGCAGTCTGTCTCAGCCCAGTTTTCACAAGAAAAATACCTCTAAGTGTATGCAGGCATGACATCAGAAGGTGCTATGGACCAGCGTTTCCCAAATTGTGATCTGGGACCTGGTACTGGTCCATGAAAAAAAAAATTCCGGTCTGCAGAGAACTAAAAAAATTAAATTAAATTACTTTAACCCTTTCACTACCAACCTCCATTTTTAAACTTTCTCCAAACCGTTGTTGTGTATTAAAGAAAAATGTAATTAAACCAGTTAATGTAAATATATTCTAATAAAATTAATATTTTCAAATACATTATAATTTAAATTTTTCATTTCATCTAACTTGGATTTGTCAATATTTCTACTAAGCTAATATAACTGGAAGGAAAAGTGACAGTTTGTACTTAAGGCTACGAAACTATAGAATTCACAAGTTGACAGCTGCCTCTATACCTTCAGTCCCTCAGGAATTAAGGTGTTCTCACTTAGTGCAACTTAGAGAGCCTAAGATTAAACTTTATGGTGTTGATAACCTTAAGATTCTTGTGAAATGCTGTAAATTGAAACCACATGTTAGCCAGACATGTCCCCCCCTGCTGTGTCTAAGCAGATCTTCCCCTATCTGCAGATAAGATCAAAGAAGGTATTTTGTCTCACATAAAAGGACCATTTGTTCATTTAAGTTAACCGGTTCTTTGACACCAATGTTTTAGGAATTTTATTCCAAATGTGTTAACTCTGTTAATGGAAATTGACAGGCATGCGAGACCTGAGTCTTACATGCTGGTGGCCAGTGCTAGAACCATCAGTTTGTTCTAAGAAGAGAGAGAATTGTTTGTGACTTAGTTTGTACTAACTAAAAATTTTTTAAGTTGTTTATTTTTAAGAAAAACCTCTTTCCAATATGGATAGATGGCTGAAGAAAGATGCATCACACAAGAAAACCTCAAGTGATGCACAAATGCAGCCTAGTTTTAGTGAAACTGAAGTTAGTGAAAATGATAGGCCTAATTATAAATGTTTAAGTGATGTGCAGCTTGGTATCAAAGAAAAGAAAACAAAGACCTCTTGAACTTGACGGTATTGTAATGAATATTTAAAGTTTGGTTTTATAAGTAGTGGTAGCAATAATGAATTGCCACTATGCGTTCTTTGTTGTTCAACATTATCAAATGAGAACATGAAACCATCGAAACTGAAATGCCACTTGGATACCAGACATCCAGAATATTTGAGTACGCCAATAGAATGTTTCATGAATAAGAAAAATAAAATAGTTTTTTTTCCAAACAAATAATTTCACACACTTGTTCCACGAGATCTTCCAATGAAAGCTTGGGTATGGCCTCATATGAAATTTCAAAACTAATAGCTGAGACAGGTTATCAGCATACTATTGGTGAAGCATTAATACTTCCTGCAGTAAAAATAACTACATCACATGTTTATAAAAAACAAGAAAATCAGTTGAATTTACTGTCCCTATCTAATAATACGGTGAAGCATAAAGTTGTTCATAAGGCAAAAAATATTGAAGAAACTCTTATACTCCTATTACACTGTGAATTTCAGTGGTTACCAAAAGGAAATGTCTTAAAAGACTCATGGAAATTAAGAATGAAGTTATCCTGTTTTTGGAGGAACATTCCCCATTGGCAAAGGATTCATTATTTGAATTTAGAGACAGGTTTCATAATTTACATTGGTTAATTAAGGTGGCCTATTTATGTGACATTTTTGGCTTCTTAAATGCATTAAATCTAAATTTACAAGGTGCTAACATAAATATTTTTAAAGTCCAGGAAAAGATGGAAGCACCTATAACAAAAAATTCATTTGTGGCTACATCGAGTTGAGAAGAGAAATTATAAGTATTCCTCTACTTTAACAGAGCTAAAAAACCAAGATGAAGAAGGTAATATTCCAGATGAGATTTCCTCATCAATCAAAGAGCATCTTTTGGGGCTAAAATCATGCTTGAATGAATATTTTCCTCTAGTTGACAGCAATGTGGAATGGGAACCCTTTTACCATTGAGATTGAAAATGAGGAAGGATTACAACTCAGTGAATCAGAAATTGATTCTATT